GTGCAAACAGAGGATGATAAGTGGAGGATAAAATCAAGGTGTGGTGACACCTATATGCCTTTTATAAGATAGAAACTAAGTATCTTATTATGAATTTTTTGCCTTCCAAAGACTGTACATCCATTGATTTACTAATCAATAGGTTTCACAGGTCTGCTGCTTCACAGACTAGTGCTGGGAGTCTATCCCCTGGTAATAATAGCGAGAACAAACGCCCTGCGCTTATATGTGACTTTTTTTTCTAGAGGATGGTGTATCAAAGGAAGCTCATGTAGATTTCTTCACGTAAAAGATGAGAAAAATCCTGGATAACAAGCTGAGGAAGGTGTGCCTGTAGCAGATGGGAAAAGAGCTGTTGAGCTTGATAAAGGTAATAAATATTTTCTGTATTATGGATTATCCAGAATCTTCTCTACATGCTATTTAATATGAACCTTATGCTTCAGGTTTTAGAAGTGCCGCTGAAAGATCAAAATCTCCTGCTTCTACTGATACTCGGCCTTCGTCAGTTGTAAATAAGACTGCGTTATCTTCTCTGTTCTTTTCTGAAAGAATCTTGTCATTAGGGCATGATGAAAACCAAAGATTGCATCTATTTCATGAAACTATGGGCCCTGCCTCTCAGCAATTTTTTTCATCTATAGATGATGTGGGACCACCTAATGGTGTAAGGCAAAATGGTATAGGTCAGAATTTGCCTGGTGATAATTATGCCAAGGCTTCTCTGGGTGATAAAGGTACATCTTCCTTCGGGAATAGTTTTATTCCTGAGTATATATCTTCATTGGGCGGCTCAGTTACATCATTGGGCAATGTATATAATGAGAATCAATCTCATTGTGTCTCGACATGCCTAGCATCATTGCCATTAAATTATTCTTCAAGTGCATGCTCTCTTGGTGCTCAAAAGATGTTGGACAATGACAGCGAGTGTTATACTTCCAGGTTGTCTTCTTTGCTGCAGGGCCGTTCCCCCTTCTCTAATTCTAAATCTGAAAACCTTCTTGTAAATGATATTGTCAGGGATCCACTGCACTTTTCTGAATGTAGAATAAAATTTTCTTCAGATGATTGGGAACCTTCAGTACCCTTTCAACCATCCTTTTTTGTCACTTCTGGCTTATCATCCCCGCAAAGCCAGTATGATCCTGTTCGTGATAGAATTGATTTGTCTAATGCAGGAGAGAGGTCTCTTAAATTTTCTTTCTCTAATCCCGGTCCATCACTCTTGAATGTAGCATATCCACCGGCATATGGTGATTCTACATCAACAGGCCCACTGATCCCTGAACGTAATGATGATAAAAGAACTGCATCTTGTCAGAATGGATACCATGAAAATTTGGTCAACGATAATTGCTACCCGTCTGAAAAAGATTCACTAACAACCGATGCAAATGATGGAACTTCTGCAGAAGAGACGTCCTCAGTTGTTTCTCATGTCAAAGACAGTTCAAAGGCAAAAAAAAGTGATATGGATCATGATGGCAGGCATCGAAGAGGTGAGACTAGATGCAAAAAAGACTTAGAAGTAGATAGAGTTAGAGAAAAGAATGAAATAGATGTTGAGGTTGAGCATAGGGAAGATGGGGATTTGCGAATAGAATCAAAAGCAATGAGGCATTTCCATGCTGCTCTTGTAGATTTAATTAAGGAACTATTGAAACCAACTTGGCGTGAGGGTCATCTCGGTAAAGATGCTCATAATATAATAGTCAAAAAAGCAGTTGACAAAGTTCTTGGTAGCATACAGCCTCATCAGTTTCCAATTACCTTCGAGTCAGCTAAGCAATATCTTTCTTCATCCCAACCAAAAATAGCAAGACTTGTTGAGGTGAGAGTCTTTGGTTTCAGAGGCACCATACTGTGCATGTTCTAGAGAATAAATGCTCTGTTTAGTATTGTATTTTTTAATGTAATTCATTCATAAATGTGACATTATTTTTTCTGTTTTGCAGGGATATATTGATAAATACAGAAAATCTTGAGATGTTAGGCAGAGTGCTTTTGTATCTTTTGCACATTTTATTAACGGAAGTCTTAACTGAGTGTCATGAAACTCTTGATTTTTTTTTATGAAATGTTTTTGTAAATATTATCTTTTCCTTTCTTTATTAGCTGTATGTAGAAAGAATTTCTACAATGCATGCGTCTTCCTAGAAGTTGGTAAGTCTAGGAGAATACTTTATTCTTCTTAGCTTGCATGTTGTGAAATCTTCCAAGGAGTTCGAGCTAAACTTCTTATTAGTACAATGGAACATTTAGTTGCAAGGTTACTTGTAGGCTAAGCAACATTTTTCATGGATATAAGGTAGTTGTTAAAAAGTGTAGACTTTTATCATAGTGCCTTGCATTATTTAAGAAAATTTTAGGTGGGTTGCAATATGAAACTTAAGAAGCTTTACGGTTATGATATGAATATTGATATTATTGTTTCTGTGCTCCAAGATTATGGATCAAACTGGTATAAAATATGTTGATTTTTTTTGTGGAGGCTTACTCCGGTTTGATAATCTCTTTGGCCTGTCTTGCTTTTTATTAACTATTGACATCTGCGTATGGCTTTTCTTCATTGTTGTCATACTTGTAGAATTAAGGAGTGCCATGCTCATTTCCTTTTGCTTACAGCATTCCTTCATTTTAATGAACATATAGTTGAAATCCTTAAGCAGTTGCATTTTTCCTCTTTTTATGCTGGCTCCTCTGAATGATTTTGCTATTATATGTTTGCTTAGAATCTTGTTGCAGCTTACATGATTATATGCACAGCTTAACTAGCTTTATAACTTATAGATTTATGTGATTGCAAGAAAGAAAGAACTCTTTTATTTTGCTACTACTTATTTTATTTTATTAAGGTTTGAAAAGAACTAGATTTGGCCGATCAGCTATTTTATGAAGTAAAGTGTCAATATCTGTTAGAAATCTTCATGTACAAGTTAAAGCACTGTCAATAAACATGAATGGCAGCTTTTGATAGGTCTATATGCTAAATTTAGAAAAACCAGGCAACTCCTGAGAACATTAGCTCCAAATCATACATCACAGTCCCTTTGGTTTTCTTTAGAATGCCATAATTTATATCTTTTAGTTGTTTATATTTGCTTCTTGGTGTTTTTCATGAGAATCTTTTGCGGTCTTTATGGTTTTCAATCGGAATCTTGTTAATGCAAACATGCAGTGGTCATTATGGTTTGTTTTGCCTTAGATTGTGCCGATTTCGGTAAGAATACATTGAATATTGGAGTTTATCTTCTTCTGGTCTCAATTTTCTTCAGGTTTTGATTTCTGTTCTAGGTTTGCAGTACAAACCTCTAACTCTTGGTTATCTTTATTGGCCGGGTATGCTCAGATGCTAGTAGACTTTGGTCTGACTTTGTTCTTCGAGTACCTATGTTTGATATGCTTGCCAAACATATATTCGGACAGTTGCACTTGAATTGGATAGTACCCCATGTTTTAGTTTTGGCATGTAGGTTGCCATTTAATGTGTTGTGAATCTGGTTCATTGCAAATATGACAATGGGTTCTCTAGGACATCTCTCTTGCATGGTTATCGGGTGTCCAAAAAGAATGTCAACTTTTGCCATTAGTATTTATTTTATGTATAAGTTGTGAATTTAATCTTTATATTTGATTAGTTTTAATCTTTGGACTCCTGAATTTTGAAATTGTAGTCTGGATCTAGACAATACTGAGATTATATGATTAAAATACAAAAATTTAAAATGATCGATTGGAAAATAGGATCTAAATCTACTATTTATGCATAGTAGGAAGGTTAACTTTAGAATTGGCTTAACAGATTTACAATTATCGATTTGGTTTAAGATTAAAATTTTAGAATTAGAGTACAATGTCTAAATTAATAGCTTTGGCATAATAATAGAAGAATTCGACCCAAAGTGAACAATATCTTTTAAGTTTTTTTAAAAATAAAGTTAAACAATGGAAGCACGCGCCGGTGAGGTGAGTACGACAGGCAAGTCTACATCGAGTACAAGAGTGGGGGCTTTTTTTTTTTATATATTGTTGTGGACAAATGAGAAGCAACTGTGCATGCTCTGCAGGGTTCTGGTTATGTTCAGTGTAGCAGCTTATTGGACAGACCAACTCGCCTGTTCAAGAACGTCAGATTACTCCCCCTATATTTTTGTCGAATTTCATAGAGGATCATTGTATTATGCATTTTTGAGAAATTTAATCCTTTTTTTAATATGTTTTGATGGTTTTTAACTCTCAATTCCTTTTTATTACTAATGTGACGATATGGCTATACATTTTATTTTTTAATTGGATAATATTTTATTACGGCATATGCATTCAGTAAATTGAATTGTCACGTTAGTAAATTAGATTACCATACTAATACTATAATAATTAACACTATATTAATTGAAGGTAAATTTGATATTATTTAAAACATAATAATCACTTTAGCTGTGTGATTTGAGAAAAATCGATTTGATTTTTGTGTGTGGGGAAAGTGTATAACACTTTTTATTCCCTTTAGCCTTTAATTTTTATTTTTAAAGATAAACACATATTACAAATGTGCAAAAAGATCGAGGCCGCGTGTAACAGACACGCACAGTTCAGACTAGAAACACGACTATTATCTCACTTCTAGCTCTGCTTGTTCCTCTGTTACAAAATGATAGAACTCTTTTATTTTATTTTTTAAAAATATTAGATCAAATAGCAGATTAAATTATAAAAAACATTTTAACTCTAAGAACAAATATTTAAATTAATATTAATTCATTTGACATAAAAAAAAAACAATTCACGCACGCTAGGAAGGAATGATTTTCCAGATTGCGGCAGGATAGATATTATTCTACAATTATTACTTCCAAGTATTTAAAGAAGATTATGATGCTTTAAGAAAGATTTTTCTTAGCAATTTCATCGAGAACAATAAACAAACAGAAGCCGATGTTTCTCCGTCACAAAAAGGGAGATTATCACCATAGATCAGATCAACTTAATTCCGAGTTTGGGATAAAATTTAAGAGAAATAAATTAAAAATGATTTAAAAAAAATGCTTATCCGGTATTATGATCGACGAAAAAAAACAATCAGATGATTTCCGGAAGAGCAGGTTGGTTGAGATCGATGTTGAGAAGCGGACGTGGAGGATTGACGTCGTTGTGGTTCAAATCAACGACGGATGGGGAATCGGAGTCGCTTTGTACCCCGTCGTTAAACGACGTCGCATTAGAATCCCTATGATCGAACCTCATCAGTTGATACTGTTGCCCTTTCACTAAAGCAGGACGAACGAAAGCATCAAGGTAAAAAACTTGAGGACTCGCGACAACCGGAACTCCGGCGGCGGTAAAAACGCCGGCCATTGGCGAAACTTTCTGGAAAGGAAACCTAAAGGCGTGAGATCCGAAGCCGGAATCCGCCCCGCGTCCGAGTTTGAGATCTAACGGTGATGAATTGATCACGAGTGCCGGGTCACGACTCGACGACTCCACGGTACTACCTTGGCTTGGACTCTGGTTATTGATATTGATTGTATTACCATTATTCATGATTTCGCAAGGATTCGGGAAATTAGTCTTAGCCTTAGCGCCGCGAAATTCCCGAGCGGCGGCGTCGTAGGCTCTCGCCGCTTCCTCCGCCGTATCGAAAGTACCAAGCCAAACACGACTTTTCTTCCCCGGATCTCTGATCTCCGCGGCGTAATGGCCCCACGGTCGCTTCCTCACACCTCTAAAATGTTCCTTTCCGGGACCATTGACAGCCGCCGTTTTATCCCTCGGCGCCATATCGCGACGCTGTATTTGTATTATTATTTTTTTTTAATGCTGGAAATGGTGTGGGGTTGGGAGGAAAGGGAGGAGGAAACAAGTGAGCGGTGAGGTATTTTATAGGGGGGAAATAGAAATCGGCGAGGAATTAAAGGGAAATAGGGCGCAGTCAACGAGGGATTTGACTGAGGGGGCGGCTAAGATAAAGAGTGGAACGCGAGTAATGGATTAATGCCAGGTTTGTAAAAGGTAAACTACGCTCATCATCACTTAAATTTAGACAACTTTCCATTTTCACCATTGAAGTTCAAGAAGTTACAGAACAATCACAAGTATTTTTTTATTTATAACAAAATGATCTCACGTTACCTGAATAACGGCGGTATGATGCGGCAGATTATGTAATTCTATAACATAGATTATATGGTAAATTATACTTATGATTCTTAAATTATATGATAATTTTAATTTTATCATCAATTATTTAATTTTGTTTATCAGATTATTTAATTATTTAAATTATGTCAATCAAGACACCTTCGGTTACCATTTGACGGAAAAATTAATATGGTAGTTAATAAAAATAATATAATTATATATGTTGTCCTCATTACTTATACATTATATAATTTAGTCATAATTTTAATTTATGACACCACCTAATTAGAGAAAAATAATTAAAGACGAATAAGATGGAGAGAAACTAAATCTAAGAGAGGATTAGATGTGTGTGTGTGTTTTTCTGCCGGTTCTAAGGTTTCACATTGATTAATCACTAGACCAAATTATATATTTGTGATGTGAATCACAATATATATATATATATATATATATATATTATCATATAGTTAATGTACAGAAATAAAAAAATAACCGAGACCTATTACAGAGTATAATAGCACTTAAATCATTAAAGTAAAACCAATAGCTTATTTTTAACTGGATATATATATATATATATATATATATATATATATATATATATATATATATATATATATATATATATTGAATAATTTATACTTAGGGGACGGGGCAGAGAAATTTAACTCCTGACGAGTATTGAACTCATAAATTAGAGGAAAGAGAAAATGTCAATTGTTATCTTTTATCTAATTGCTCTAGAGATTATTGGCATTTTTATATAATTTTAAATGTAATTGATGCAAGATTAAAAGTAAAAAATTAGTATAAAATTTTATATTATTAATCTAAATTTAATATTTTTTACGTTTACAATTTAATGATTATATATAGTCATTAAATAATTTTTAAAATATTGAATCAGGTGGTGACATGTGTTACTAGTGGCACATGTCAAAATCTGAATAGAAACATACATTTATTAAATTAAAATTAAGACCAATTTAATAAAAAAATATAAGTAGTGAGCGTTATATGTATAATTATATCAATTTTATCAACTGATGTGTAAGTTCTTTTGTTAAATATTAAATACATGTGACGTGATTAACATCATTTAAATTGTTAAGTAGTTTAGTTGAAAAAATTGAAAGATCGATGATGATACTAAAATTCCTCCATCGTTAAGTGATCTCATGTGTAATCTACTATAAATTATAAGAGTTTTTGTTATATATAAAAAAACGATAGTGATCGATTTGCATATTTTTTAACTTTAGCAGTGAAAAGATAACCCTACCCAAACTTTACTGACCTGTTGACAGAGTTTATTCTTTATAAAAAATTAGGGATACCAGCTTACGTGGGAAGTGGATTGTCTCGAAGAAATGCATTGTTATATTATTTTCACGCTATCATTTATCAAACGGCTGATATTTCATAAAGCAAATAAGGACAAGTGCGCGTGGGGTGGAGTGAGAATAAGAAGTTTAAACAAGTTGTCGGCAGATTCTGGTATTTCGGCGCGTGACCTGGATAAGTCATTTGATTTCTGATATATAAGGAAAGAGGCTTTTGGTTCCCTTTTGAACCGATCGCTTCGATCCAACGTTAAATTCGGCGATTGTTCCTCACGCATGTTGATTGCCACCTAGCAAGTAACACCCCTAATAAACCCGACTCCCACACTCAATCCGCTGCTGCGCAATGGCTCTATTCAGCCTCAAGAGCTTTCTTCCCCCATTCTCCTCCTTCTCTTCGTGAATCACACTCTCCACTACATTATTTTTGCAGTTATTTTTGGTTTTCAATTATTAACTGTTTAATCGATCACGCATGTCGCCATAGTGTACAAGTACGAGAGCGTTCGTTTTCGATTTTCGATTTATAATTTAACTAAAAATAATAAACTTAATTAGTTTTTTTTATTTTTACTAATTGTCGGAAGTTAAATAATGAATTAATAAATATTTTTTAAATGAATTCTTCAATTCAAGGAAGAAATTATCGCTTTTCTCACTATTGGTTGATCCCCACCCAGGTCTACTCTTCTCTCTCCATTAACCAATTTTATTCTTTAATCTTACTCATGAGATTAGCTGACCCTTATTCTAAAAATGTAATGGGGTAGAGGAGGTAGGATAGTAGGTTGTCCCTAACGTTAGGTTGGGAGAAGCTTCCGTAAAAGACCTCCGAATTATGAAATGCCCTCCGTGAGACTCGATCCCACAACTCCAAGAATAAGAGCCTTGTGCTCTACTAACTGAGCTGGATGGTAATCTCTTAATCTTATTCATGAGAAAATCAATCAAATATCAACTCAATTAAAATGGTTAAAAATTATTATTTTAGATAATAATTAATATTGTTACCTTTTTGTACTTTTATATAATTATAAAATAAAACATTTAAAAATAACATATTAAAGAACAAACGTGAAATTAATAAAATTGTATACAAATTTTTTACCACACCAATATTAATTTGTTGGATAAATTTTTATAAGCATTTTATTATTATCTAAAATTTTTGATTTGCCAGCATCATAAATATGATAAAATTAAAATATATATTGAGGTTACAATTAAAATTATAATTGTGTCAAATAATACTTATCTAATAATTACTATAAGAATTAATTAAAATCATAATAATAAATTATAATTAAATATAATTAGATTAACAAGTAAAATACATTCAAATTAAACTCATAAATTATAAAATAAAAACTGAAAATTTACACATTTGTGTATGAAATACTCAACATCGGTACGAATGGAAAAGTAAATGCATGCTGCAGTGGAATTAATTAAAAAAAAGTAAATTACAATATATATATTTATATTTAATTAAAGGACGTAAATGACGGGGACCGGGGACAAAAGCCTTTAGAAACGACGCCAAACAAGGTGGCTGCTGGGAACACACAGAGTCGGCTGATTAATGATTCATCTCCATGACTCGGATTGATTTGATTTACTAATTCCCACGTGTTAAGCTTTGATTATATAAAAGCTACACTTTTCACTCAAAAACCTGATCAATAGATTAGGTTTGAAAACTGGGGCAGGGTAAATGGTCTGGGTTCGAGTTAGAATCGAAGGGGATAAGGACTTTTAAAAAATTTAAAATAATATATATTTAAAAATTTAAAAATAATATATATTTAAAATTTTTATTATTAATTTATTTTCGTTTTTTTAAAATTATATAATTTTGTTATCTCTTTAAATTTTAAAAGTCCACATTTTAAAGTATGAAAACGCGTCTGTCCTTAAAGTTATTTTTAATTATGTATTTAGTTGAAATCTATTAATTAATGGACTAATTAAGAATGTTCGTGTTGTTTTTGGATACCCCCAAGGAAAATTCCGAATTGGATCCCAAATTGAAGGGTTAGTGTGAGCTTATCCATGCGGTTATGCACTCTTCGAATAGGAATCTATTTTCTGAAAGATCCTGGCTTTCGTGCTTTGGTGAGTCTCCGAGATCCTTTCGACGACCTATGTTGTGTTGAAGGGATATCTATATGATCCGATCGATTGCGTAAAGCTCGCGGTAGCAACGGAACATGGGAAAGTATACAAAAAAGACAATTATTTTCTTTCTATTATATTAGTCTTTATATTATATTAGTATTTTCTATTCTATTAGTATTAGATTAGTATTAGTTAGTGAATCCGGCTCAGTGAGTCCTTTCTTCCGTGATTAACTGTTGGCGCTAGTCCTATACTTTGTCTCTGTGGACCAAGGAAAAAGGGGGCTCAACGGGAAGAGGATTGTACAATGAGAGAAGCAAGGAGGTCAACCTCTTTCAAATATACAACATGATTCTGGCAATGCAATGGAGTTGGGCTTTCACGCGGATCCGAATGAATCATCTTTTCCACGGAGGTAAATCCTTGCCCGCTAGGCAAGAGGATAGCAAGTTACAAATTCTGTTTCGGTAGGACATGTATTTTTATTACTATGAAATTCATATATGAAGTAATTAATCGTGGGGTTACCATTATCCTTTTTGTAGTGACGAACCTTGTATGTATTCCCAAATTCCTTACGGATACCCCACAAGGAAAATCCCGAATTGGATCCCAAATTGACGGGTTAGTGTGAACTTATCTATGCGGTTATGCACTCTTCGAATAGGAATCCATTTTCTGAAAGATCCTGGCTTTCGTGCTTTGGTGAGTCTCCGAGATCCTTTCGACGACCTATGTTGTGTTGAAGGGATATCTATATGATCCGATCGATTGCGTAAAGCCCGCGGTAGCAACGGAACTGGGAAAGTATACAGAAAAAACAGTTCTTTTCTTTCTATTATATTAGTATTTTCTATTATATTTTTTCTATTCTATTAGTATTAGTTAGTGATCCCGGCTCAGTGAGTCCTTTCTTCCAAGATTAACTGTTGGCGCCAATCCTACATTTTGTCTCTGTGGACCAAGGAGAAAGGGGGCTCAACCAGAAGAGGATTGTATCATGAGAGAAGCAAGGAGGTCAACCTCTTTCAAATATACAACCATTTTATGAGAGTAAAATTTTAATATTTATTTTGAATATGTAATATTTTTTATTAATTAAAAAAATACATATTTCATTTATATTTGAATTTGATATGTGATTATATATTTTTAAAATATAAAAAATATACTTAAAACCTCATTAACACGTTTAGCGAATTAAAATTTTAAGAAAATTTGCCACCAAATAAATTTTTTTAGATTATATATAATCTTTTACAACTTTCATAAATACTTAAATAATATTATATATTTAAATACATTTAAAAATCTTACTGATGAGATAGACCATAATGGACATTATAAAATTTGAATTTTATTTCAATTATAATAATGAAAAGTAGTATTTCCTAATCTCTACTTTCCAGTGAGTCACGTCTAACTGAAAGCGCCATACGAAGCATCGTTATACCGACGTAAAATACACAAAATTTTGACTTTTTCCCATGCTTCTAAATTTACTTTTATATTAATTTTAATTCTAAAAATTAATATTTAATTTATTAATTGATTGATTCAGTTAAATATTACAGAGAATTGTTATTAAAATATTTTTTATAATTTTTTTTCATTTATAAAATTTAATGTTTTTCTTAGTAAATTAATTAGGAGTTGGTTTTAAATTTAATATCAAAAAAAAATTTATATTTAGAATACTTTTCTTAATTTTAGATTATCAAAAATTAATCACGCTTACTTATTTTTATTAATATATCAATTATACAAAATTTTTAGAATAATTAAATAATAACAGACTTTTTTTATCTTATCGTAATTTTAAATTGAAAAAAGTATTAATAAAAAGGGTAAATTATACATTTAGTACCTAAACTATCAGTTTTGATATATTTTAATACCTAAACTTTTATTTTTTTCAAAACCATACCTAAAGTTTAGTTTTTATTTTATTTTAGTACCACTCCGTTAAGTTTTGAAAAAAAAATGAAAATCTAGGTATAAAAACACGTTTAGTACCAAAATCATACTTAGGTTTTGATTTTTTTAATAAAAAATTTAGGTACAAAAATAGATCAAAACTGATAGTTTAGGTACTAAATATATTAAATTTTTAACGAAGGAGTATTAGAATGAAATAAAAAGTAACTTTAGGTATGATTTTAAAAATATTGAAAATTTAAGTACTAAAATAGATCAAAACTGATAGTTTAGGTATCAAATGTATAATTTACCCTAAAAATAAAATTCAAAAAAGTAAAAAAAAACACTCCAATAAGTTAAGATTCCGTTTACGTATTATTCTTTAGCAAGTAGCAATTTAAAAAAATAAAACTATCCTACACGTCGCCACGTGTCTGAGTGTAAGCGTTGTATGACAGTCACCAGCCGCCTTTTTGTTCCCATGTTTAGCTTTTATCTTTTGTCTGAAGTCAAATTTCACAGATTTCAGACAAACAATTTTATTTTTTTATTTTTTTCCAAAATAAAAGAATTAATCGACCCGTAGACCACTTCAATGGGTCGTCGTCTCCTTCATCAGCAATGGACTAAAAAACCCAAAAATCCAAACTGAGTTACATTAAACCTTAGAGCAAATCCAGCCACCGTCAACTTCCAAATCCATGACCATGGCCAGAAATCTTCATCAATTGGATCCTCAAACGGCGGCGGAAAAGGCGGTGTCGGTTATCGGATTCGGATATGACTTATCCAATGATATAAGGCTATCGGCTTGCAAGCCGGGTCCTTCCGGTTCGAGATTGATCGAACTTGACTCAGCAACGAGTCGGGACCTGGTTTTTCCTGGTGGGCTTGTTGTTAAAAATGTGCCCAGTTCGATTAAATGCGATAAAGGCGAGCGTACCAGGTTTCGCTCCGATGTTCTTTCTTTCAATCAGGTATTTTATTTATTTAAATTTATTTTTCTTTTTAATGTTGTATAATGAATTTTAGAAAACTTTGATTAGTTCTTATGAAAATCGAGCTCTTATATATATGCATATACATATGTATGTGTATGCATACATGTATATGCTTTAAATCTATATGTTTCCTGTTTTTGTCTTTTCTGTTTTTTGTGCATCTTTGTTCTTTGGAAGCTGTTTCACGATGTAAGTATATGTATATGTGTATGTGTATATGTATATGTATATTTATATGTATATGCATATCTTTTCTTGTTTGTGTTTTTGTTGGTTTTCGTGCATCTTTCTTAGGAAGTTCGAGTGTTTTCTTTAGTCTTTGCTTGATGGAATTTTCACTTTCTCTGAACTTAAGTTGTTGGTGCTATTGTGCGGTCAGATGTCGGAAAAGTTCAACCAGGATCTGTCATTATCCGGCAAGATTCCTTCCGGCTTATTCAAGGCCATGTTCGAATTCAAGGGCTGCTGGCCGAAGGATGCCGGTGCCACAAAAAGTCTTGCTTACGATGGTTGGTTCATAACGCTGTACAACGTCGAGCTCGAAAGAGCGCACATAACTTTGTCCGAGCGTGTGAAGCAAGAGGTTCCTAGTACATGGGACCCTGCTGCCATTGCCGAGTAAGTTCTTTTCCACACATGTTTTGTATGTTTTGGAGTAAAAGACTTGCTTGGAATCAAAATGTTCTGTTTTCTAATGAATTGCAGTCCTCTTTGTTTGGATTATAACGCACGCACAATGTTGTAGTCCTCGTTGTTCGGACACGAACAAGGATCGCAGACCTCTGACAAGGATCACAGACCTCTGTGTTAGTGTTGATTTTATTAACTAAATCTGTACTGATTATGTTCTTCCTTCTCCAGGTTCATTGAAAAATATGGTACTCACGTTATCGTTGGGATTAAAATGGGAGGCAAAGATGTTATACACATAAAGCAATCAAAGAATTCTAATCTTGAACCTGATGAAGTGCAAGAAACTTTAAAGCAATTAGCTGATGAGAGGTTCCTGGAAAACGAAGAAACTCCGGAATTATCGGTAAAACCAAAGGTACATATGGTGCATGAGTATTATTCTGTTCTTAGTTTTTGCATTTTGGGTTACACAGAACTACGTTTTTAGATGAATTTTCAGGGGAATGCTCACTTTGCATTGTGTATAAGATGTCCTAGGGAAGTAATGGAGGTATTGATAATGCAATATAGGTTATATACGGATTTCGATTCAAACTACGTATTATTTAGCCTAATCTATATGTGAGTTTGAGAGAAAGCATTCATCCACAAGGCCCGGTAAATACGCCCATCTAACTCTGTTTCTATTTATTGCTTCAGGAAGTACCTTATATGCCCTGGGACCTTCAAGGCATGCTTGCTGCATCAGTTAGGCCTCCTGTTGTTACTCGCTCGAAGAATAATGTACGTTTCTCAGTGGTCTATTTTAGCTTCTATTTTGGAACCGCACCGATTAAGAAGCAACCTGAATTTGGTAATGGTGATCCTCTCGTTTAACTTTGCAGGATATGGTGAACATTTATATTCGAAGGGGAGGTGTTGATTTCGGTCAAAGCCATAGCCGGTGGCTTTCGACTATATCGCAGTCACCCAATGTTATATCGATGTCCTTTGTGCCTATTACTTCTCTACTGAGTGGTGCTCGGGGCACCGGATTTTTAAGCCATGCGGTGAACTTATACCTACGATGTGAGTGAATGCATGTGCGTTTGAAAGATTATCATGAAGGCTTATGTGATCACTGGCCTCTGACAATAACGGCGATATACTGATATCTTGCAGATCAACCACCGATAGAGGAACTCCATGTATTTCTCGAGTTTCAATTACCTCGACAATGGGCTCCCGTATACGGCGATCTGCCTCTCGGTCTCAAGCGAAGGAAACAAGCATCCCCGTCGCTTCAGTTCACGTTAATGGGGCCTAAGCTTTATGTCAATACCACACAGGTATCTTATCGCACTACTTGACATTACTTGCACCACACGTTTTAACATTTTAGTTATGTTTGCAGGTTGATACCGGAAATCGACCCGTGACGGGAGTACGCTTATACTTGGAAGGTAAGAAGAGCGACCATTTAGCAATCCATCTTCAACATCTTTCAACTCTTCCTACAATCCTCCGGCTGTCGGATGATTACGGTTACGAGCCTAACAACGAGCCCGAACGTGGGTACTTCGAGCCTGTCAAGTGGAGCATATTCTCACATGTATACACCGCGCCTATACAATACAATGGAAGCCACTTTGATGAGACTGCTGCTATCGTAACCAAGTCTTGGTTTGAGGTAAAGGTTGTCGGGATGAGGAAAGTTCTCTTCCTGAGGCTCGGGTTCTCTATGGTCGCCTTTGCGAAGGTTCGTCGATCCGAATGGGACGGGCCGGCGACATTGTCACGGAAATCAGGAGTTTTCTCGACGCTGATCAGCACAAGGTTTAGTTCAGGGCTGACTCAACTGGAGAAGCCAACGAAAGTAGATTTAAATTCAGCTGTATTCCCCGGAGGTCCGCCTTTACCGCTGATAGCACCAAAAATGACCAACTTCGTAGACACGAACGAGACAGTTAGGGGACCGGAGGACTCGCCGGGGTATTGGGTGGTTACTGGAGCCAAACTCTGCGTGGAAGGCGGCAGAATCTCAATCAAAGCCAAGTATTCATTGTTAACAATAATGTCAGAAGAAAGTGTGATGTTAATGTGAGAAAAACTAAATGGTTGATTCATATGCATTATTTGCGCCACTGTAAATGTTTTCATGTGCTTCATTTATTCAAAATTATAAGAATATGGTCAAGTACATCATAAGTCATTAAAATGTATTTAAATAATCATTTTGGTTATTATATTTTCAAAAGTTATAAAATGATCATTAAATTTTTAAACCGTTACAAAATAGTTATTAAATTTATATAACTATTCTAAAATCACCATTAAATTTGTCAAGAAAGTATGATTATTATAATTCAGAGTGATTATTCTATAGTAGTTTGATAAATTTAATGTTTATTTTATAATTTTTGAAAATTCGATTACCAAAATAATCATTTGAACATAATTCAATGTCAACTGATATACTTTATTCTAAATTTTAATTCTCAATATAGCTCTCAAATTCAACTTTTTAATAATTATCGAATTAATTGCATTGAATATTCCTAACTACAACTCAATTTTCAATTTGGTTTTCATACATTATCTGATCGAGTCCTCAAATTATAATATCTCCGACAGACCCGAATCGCAGAGTGCCTTGTTGGAGACGAGACTGGCACTATCCTCTTCACTGCTCGTAACGATCAAGTCCATTTTTGAATCCTTTTTTATTTTTTAATTTTTTAAAAAAATTCTTATGGATTTGCATGTGTTACTGTTATGATCTTAATTCGTCTAAAAAGGGTGGATTTGTTTTCGTGTCATTGACACCTAAAGCTTTGATGTTTCCCTTTGGTATTCTTTTTTGGATTGTTTGAAGGACGAAATACGGTGCCGTTTTTGATGATTTTGATCCTAGATTTGTTTTTGTTTAGTCTTATGTATGAATTTGATATAATCAAGGATCTTACTTTTTTGTATTGTGATGAGTGGTTTGATTACATGAAATGAATCATTATATATGTTAAAACCGACACTCATTGACAACGTTTCGAGTTGGGTTTTCGATTTTGTTTTGCATAAATAAATTATTGAGCGAAAGAAACTTGAACTGTTCTTGCAGTTTGATGATAATCATATGCTTGAATTATTGTGCAGTTGAGTTGATGAAGCCTGGTACTACTGTAATTCTTCGTAATGCAAAGATTGATATGTTTAAGGGTTCCATGAGGTTGGCTGTCGATAGATGGTGCCGTATCGAGGTCACTGATCCCGCTAATTTTGTTGTCAAAGAAGATAACAATCTATCCCTCATCGACTATGAGTTGGTTAATGTCGTCGAAGAATGATAAGAGGCTTCATGGACTTCCGTGACTAGATCCTGGAGGAGTTCTCATGATGTTGGCCTAATTAATGATTCTTTCATCTTTGTAGTGTTGTTGCAATGCTTCCTCGGGACAAATTTTCATTGCGAAAGTTTCGGGTTGGGTATACAAATCTTGCTGATTGCCGGTCTTTTATGCCTTGTACTTACATCTAATAGTTTAGCGATGAACTCGTGAACGAATCGATTAAGTGTTGATAGTAAAATCCGTCTATTATTGAGGATTTTAGTTCATTGTTTTATCAGTTCTTGCAAGTTGTCAATTGTTGAATTTCCACATGCTGCATGACTTTCGCATTAAGTTTTATTTCGGTGGTGAAATGGAGTAGGCTGATCAATCAGACCGGTATATATACATAACTCGAGATGTTCTCAGTTTATCGATTAGAATGAAACTCAGGATGCAAATTCCGGATCAGTTTAGAGAAGGTAAGTTGTTTCTGATATTTGCATTCATGGACAGTATCTGCATTGACATATTTTCTACAGACTTTGGCTCCCTATGAGAAACCAGTGGCAAGGTTCCATTGCTTCTTGCATTCAAATAAACAAGCTTCTCGACAAAAGTTGCGACGTGGTCTGATGGACGCATACAGGGCAGACACGAGATGGTAGGCTTTGGCTTCCAGAATTAGAGGGCCGCATCCGTCGATGACCACCGAACATATATAACTTGGTTCATAGCCTTGCCCGTGGGGTTATCAGGGCTAAAGTCATTAAACAAACCGATCCTTCCATTTGGAATATATTTCACGGTTGCTCGCGTGGCTTGGTGGTTGAAAATCTAAAAGGGACTTCCCTTGTCAGGGTTCGAGCTTTGGCACTTGGCTTTCTTTCTTCACTCTTGCTTTGACCCTCTGATACGAGGTATTTCAAAATACCTCCATTTTGGACAATCTGTAAGGTGTATATTCTCAATTTTAGCCTTGAGATTATGTCCTTGTGTTCGAAGAGAGTGAGAATCGGTTGGTAGAATTTTCATAAAACTCGAGTCAGATTTAGGTAGAAAGAACATATTTCTCAGGTCGTGTCCACCGAAAATCCAACTCAATCTAACTTATCACCATCCGTAGTATCCTTAAAGAGAGTAAGTACTTTTCTTATGAAAGGAGGGTGTGCTTGCAGTTTTTGTATAAGACGACAGTGGGAAAATGTGAATATCACTAAACTTTATTATTGAAAATTTAGGTTATAAAAACATTTTAAAGGTTCCAAAAGAGAATGCCATCACATTGGCAACCCTTTCGCAACCAATTGCCTTTGAAGCTGCAATTTTCGACAAAAAATTATGTTGCAGCTCATGCAACAGTTTAGTCACTATAATCTTCTGAATCTGCTGAGTCTAAGGCATCGTCACTTCTAGTCTTGCTACTTTATCCGATGCATCACTCATCTTTAAATCGCCTTCTGAATCTTCCTCTCCCATCTGTTTGCCACCGTCATCGTCTTCATAAGTGTTTTCATCTTCATTGCTGGCTTCAATTTGCTCTCGAATCCACCCATTAGAAGCTCCGTTAAGATCTAGCTCCCAGTTTCCTTGCTCATATCCTTCACCTTGTCCATTGTCATCCGACTCCTCTTCTGTACTGTTACTATCAGGAGGATTTGCCATGTCCATCATCCCAAACTTTTCAGTCCTCCAGTCTTCATCCAAGTTTCGTACAGATACCGCACTGGCCTTGGGTTTAATCATATTAGCAGCTCTCTTTCTAGCAGTTTGCCAGCCACGTCCGGAACTCTGACCATTTGTTCTTTGGCTCTGTTGTTTGAGGTGGAAACTTACAATATTGTTTTCTCTAGCACTTTGCTTAATGATATCGTTTTTGGAATCAGAAGCTTTCCTCTTCCATTTTCTACGGGTGCCTCTTCCCCGTTTATGGTTGTTCCGCCTACTATTATTCAGGTCAGAAAAGTTTTCTTCTTGGTCTTGTTCTTTCAATTCAAGCTCTTTATTCTTGACGAAAGGAGAGATTCTTGAAGGAAGCTTCTGCATATTTGACAAAAATGGTTAGCTTACCATTTGATAAGTCACATTAAAATATACCTGCGGGCAGGAGGATGGGAATAAAAGGCATTAAAATCCACTCACTATATATGCTTTAGTTTCCCTGTTCTCCAAATGTTCGGCTTTCTCCTGCCTTCCGTACATGATGGACGAATCAAGCTCCAAAAGCCTTAAAACTGAAGCTGGAGCGGTTTGGGGTATCCATGGAAGCACCAAATCAGTAGGAGAATCACTCTCTGACCGAAGACTAGAACCAGGTAACTCCCTCGTCGTCACAAAGTTAGATGATAAATAATCTCGCTTTATGGCACTCTCAAGCTGAGTCAACAGCTGCAACAAGAACATGACATTGGAGTGAGAACAGGGCCAAAATTGCATCTATAAAACATTTATCTAATCATTTGATAGACAGTGTAATCCCATAGCATAAGGCACATGTGAAATGGCTATGTAATAAGAAAAATTGAAAGAAAAAGTGAAAGGAGGCAGTGCTATTAAAGGATAAACGCTCGAGTTAGGATTTAGAGTTTGCACAGCGATTCATTAGAGAATGCAATCTACTATAGTGGTTCACAATAATAGGCTAATATTCAAATGAAAACCTTAACTAAATGAAACTTTTTTGGGCAATTTAGTTCTATTTCAAATAAATGAATACATTTAGGAGTTCATTCGCGGAAGATGATGTATTTAGCTTCCTGCCCCACATCTTTCTTTGACTCCCTGTCCAAATCGATTCAAGAGCTTCTGGCGGAATAGATGCCTGCCAAGGGAAAAGTTCAGACAAACATAAGAAAAAATAAAATTCCATTTATATGGGAAATTCAAAGTTGGGCAGTTTTAATTCACCTCAACTAGAGCACAAAAGGACTTTAGTATGTTGATTCCCACGAGGAAAGAAGAATCAAGAGTATGTTTACCTTTGTTGTCAAGCTTCCTGTTTTCTTTGCACTCAATCTCATGTTCATAGAAACTAAAACCATAGTTAATGGAGTGAAACGTCTGGTGGCGGTAACTACAGTGCATATCCTCTGTTATATAAGAGTCGAGGCATGCATCACAAACAGCCAACAGCGGCGCACATCTCTTCTTTTCATATTTCATGGCACACAAAGTCGAGGCATTGTAACATTCCTTCCACATCCACCTCTGGAAATCTTGGTACCTCTTCATGGCAGACTTTCTCTCATTTTCATTTCTCCCAAGCTGAATTTTGAAAGAAGGTACTGTTTCCAATGCATCAGAGTGCAACCCACAGACCCCACTACTAGGACTTTCAAATTTGGCAGGAAAATCAGGATCAGAATCTATTTCAGAAGTTTCATTTTCAGAAGAGCTTCCACTTCGGCCCATAGCTCTAGCAGAGTGCAAGTTCCTGCAAATGTTTTCTTTGAAGGAGAATTCAATCTTTTGAAACATTATCCGTAAATGGGATTCCCTGATTCCTCGTGCATTCAAAGATTCCAAAAGAGCATCGAATGCCTACAAAGAAATTTAATTGAATGCGTTACTAAATAAACCAGATGTAAGATATAAAAATTATAGTGTTCATTTGACTTGTCAAGCAATTCATTCCAATATATATCAACAAATCTCTATTTCTAAGTAGTATAGCATACCTCTTCAGAATCAATCAGCCTCCAATTTCCATCATGTAACTCAACATATATCAGGCTGGAACAAGGGTCATTTTTAGAAGCAGAAGCAACAAACTGCCAGTATCTATTACGTCTACGATCTTGGCCAAGAGGTAAAGACCTGTAAACATACATCTCTTCCGCTCTTTGGGTAATGT